TAGTCTTCATTGGACGTACGTATATTATGTATAAATATAATATAAAATTTAATGTGCGTTCTTCATTTGTACCCCACCTACTTGATAGGCATGACGTCATTGGAGAATTCACTACAACTCTACAGAGACTCGTAAAGGGCCCCGGCCCCGATAATGTATATGAGTGCCACAACACGAAGAAAGCCGCCAAGAAGAAGAACTACAAAAACTCCGGAATTGTAAGTGATGTCACTGCAATACCAGACTACTCGTAGCAACGACCTCCTATCCTAACTGCTAACAGCATCAGCGGATAAATAAGCTCCTTATCCCTAGCTACTACAGCGAAAACAACGACCCTTTCATCGCCTCTACTTATATAGAGCTCAGCCCTTCATTACTGAAAGCAGTAAGGCCTGCTGCACCATTATCATGTAATAGCAATGGCCTCTCTCTCTCATCTCTCCCCCTCCATCATGCGTCTCTCTGCGTCTTCTCTTCTCTCGTCTCGTCTCTCTCTCGTCTCTCTCTTCTTCTCTCTCTCTCTCCACTCTCCTCGCTCTATCTCTCGCGCGCGTTTTCTCTCTCTCTCTCTCTTATCTCTCCCCCTCCATCTCTCTGCTGCTCTCCCTCTCCTCTCTCTCTCTCTCTCTCTCTCTCTCTCTCTCTCTCTGCTCGGCCGGCGCTGCTCGGTGTGCTCTCTCTCTTCTCTCTCTCTCCTCTCTCTCTCGTCTCGTACGTCGTATCTCTGACTCGCTATCCTCACTCTCCTCTCTCCCTCATCTCTCTCCTCCTCTCTCCATCTGCGCCGCGCGCCGCGCGCGCTCTCTCTCTCTCTCTCTCTCATTCTCTCTCTCTCTTCTCTCTCTCTCTTCTCGCTCTCTCTCTCTCTCCACATCTCACCCTGCATCCTCGTCTTATGCTCTCTCTTCTCTCTCTCATCTGCTCTCTGCTCTCTCTCTCTCTCTCTCTCTCTCTGCTTTTCTATCTATTTCCCTCTTCCCCGTCATCGTATCTCGTTCCCTCTCTCTCGCGCTCTCTCTCTCCTCTCTCTCTCTTCCCTGCGCGCGGCGCGCTCTCTCTCTCGCTCTCTCTCGCTCCTCTGACCCCTCAATCTCTCGTTTCTCTCTTATCTCTCTGCCTCTCTCTCTCTGCTCTCTCTCTCTCTTTCTCTATTCTATTTCCCTCTCTCCCCCTCATCTATCTCTCCCTCTCTCTCGCGGTCTCTCTCTCTCGCTCTTCTCTCGCTCCTCTCGCGCCCTATCCTCTTCGCTTCTCTCTGCGTCTCTCTCTCCTCTCTCTCTCTCTCTCTCGTCGTCTCTCGTCTCTGCTTCTCTCGCTCTCTCTCTCTCTCCCTCTCTCTCTGATCTCTCGCGCTCTCTCGGCTGTGCCCTCGGCGGCGGTTCTCATCGTCTCTCTCTCTGGCTTGATCTGCTCTGCTTTCTCTCGTCTCTCGCGCGCGGCTCCCGTCTCTCTGCTCGTGCATCTTCTCTCTCCCTCTGCCCCCTCATCTCTCTCGTCGGCTCCTCTCTCGGCTTCATCTTACAGCTGTCTCGCTATGCAGTGTAAAAGTAATAACACAGAGCTACTGGGATAGTAACTAATTTTGGCACTCTCATTGGCTTTTGGCCACGATCAGTCGCTGTTAATTGCCAATCGGAAATCCAGGCGAAACGTTCATCATCGATTACTTCACGGAGGGTAAGTGAGGAAGAGCACGCAGCGCACGTACGGCACGTAGTGAACACGCCACGCAATGCACGACGCACGTACGGGCACCGCACGTACGCCACGTTATCGCACATGAAGCGCACGCACGACGCACGCTACGCACGGCACGCACACACGCTGCGGCGGCACGCACCGCCGCACGCGACGCACGCACCGCCACGCCACGCACGTCGCTACGGCACGCACGCGACGCCACGCACGCAGCGTACGCACGCAGTGCACGCACGCACGTACACACGCACGCCACACACGACGTGAGCGGCAAGCACGCACTCCGTAACAGTACGTACACGACACGCGACGCACCCCTACATACGTGGCGTACGCACGGCACGCACGCACACAGCGTACGCGACAGCACGGGTGACGCATCACGCACGCATGGCACTACGCCAAGACACACATCAAAGGCACGCGGAGCGCGCCGCGCGCGCACACACACACACAGCACACGACACCACACACACACGACACACACCACACACAGCACACAGCAGCACACGGACACACACACACACACACACTATATATATATTAGTTTATAGTAGTATATATTTATTTCTCTATGTTTATATCAGTAATATATGTCGCTACTAAAATTGTGAAACTCCCATGCAGGCCTTGAACATTATAGCCCATATAAAAAGCAGCTATTAGCGGAAACTCGCCACCAGCGAACATCCACGTATTAATCCCCTCTTTTAAGCCAAGGATATTGCATAAAGTTAGTAAGCCTGGGGTTTCGGTTAATGGAGAATAATTCTAAGGTTTCAATAGCTATAAATATTTC